TCGAGGTCTTGCAGGAAGAGCTATGCCAAAACATCGGCGGAGAAGAGGAAGAATACCCACGACAACCGAGAGTAGGCTCTCCATGTCGAAGAAGTGCCCGCAAGACCCCCTCAAGAACTCTACGGAATGCCCCTGCCATACCGAACCATATCCCTTTTCGCCGTTCCAACGGAACCGAATTCGTATTTTTACAGCGTTCAGAGGAGCAACAGCTTTCTCTGGTGACCAAAGCCAACACTAGACGTAATAAAGGTGATGCTAAGTTCCCATGTTTCGTTCTTCAAGCGATCAATTCAAAAGAATATGAACCCATTTGCATCAACCACGGGGAGACGGGTGCGTCTGTTTCACCGAGGAAGTCTCCCCGCAAACGGATACGCATTGTGAAGAAGGTGATGTGGGACGATGAGCATCTGGTTCAGTACGAGGGTGAGACATACAATAACGATGAACAAAATGAGGATATTGGTCAGGCGAGCCATTCTCCGAAACTCGCCATCTCACAGTCCGCTAAACTGGAGGAAAAGAAGAGGAAGAATCCGAATCCCAATATTACCAGAAAGAACAGTAATAGCAGTAAGGCCTACAAATTATCCGTCCCAATCCATTCCGATCCGCAGTCGGTGAAATCACCAACGATAAAGAGGAGGGTGCCGAGGCTGGGGTTCTCAGGAAACAATGATCACAGTAACATTAGCCACAATAGTGTGGCCCCCACAGGTGTCGCTGCCGCTGCCGCTGCCGCTCCGGCATCTGGAAAAAAATCATCTGTTGCCAGGCATCCCGGGACGCCGATTCATAGAAAGAAACTTGCCCCGAAATCTCCGAAGGCAATTGTATTCAAGGTTTCCGATGACAGAGCTCCGAAGATGAGTACTGCTACATCAACCGATTCTGGCATAATTCCGCGTGTAATTTTAGCTCCTACTACACGTGCTACGACTAGGAAATTCAGCGGCTCGTGTTTGCCAAGGCATACAGGGAGAACAAAGGTATAGCAGCCTCGTCCAACAGGTGAGGGTAGGATGTGCCTACTTTGC